TTCCAAAATACGATGAATATTCCACCGGAGTTCTTCAGCTTTTAGAGAGAAGAAAGAGAAATAAGGGAGAGGAGAGAGAGAGGGGAGAAGGTTTCTATCGAAAAACGAAGGAAACTATCTTTTATACCCTCTCAAAACGACGTCGTTTTGGCTTTAAGTGACCTAGAGAATCTGCGCGTTTTGCCGAAACCCGACACGACCCGAACGTCGACCCGCTTCCTGACCCACGCGTGCCTGCCCCCCTCTGAGTCGAGACGAGCTTCCCAAGCCGCCCCCTAGCCGTTTCTCTTCCTTGAACCGAGCCAAGCCGAGCCGCTCCAGGTTTTTTTTTTTTGGAATTTTTTTATTTATTTGTTTTATTTATTTATTTATTTTATTTATTAGATTAGATTTATTTAATATTTTTTTATCTTTATCTTATTTTTATTTTTGTTTTACTTTCTTTTATTTTTTTTATCTTTATTTATTTTGACTTTTATTTTGTTCTATTTTCTTTAAATAAAAATCAAAAAATATTTTTGGGGAAAAGTTGAAAGTATCAATTTTCCTTAAAAATAAATTTTCAAAAAAAAGGTTTTTGAGGAAAAGTTGAAAGTATCAATTTTCCTTGAAAATCAAAATTTTCAAAAAAAATATTTTTGGAGAAAAGTTGAAAGTATCAATTTTTCTTAAAAATAAATTTTCAAAAAAGGGTTTTTGAGGAAAAGTTGAAAGTATCAATTTTCCTTGAAAATCAAAATTTTCAAAAAATATTTTTAGGGAAAAGTTGAAAGTATCAATTTTCCTTAAAAGTAAATTTTCAAAAAAAAGACTTTTGAGGAAAATTTGAAAGTATCAATTTTCTTTGAAAATCAAAATTTTAAAAAAATATTTTTAGGAAAAAGTTGAAAGTATCAATTTTCCTTAAAAAAAAAATTTTCAAAAAAGGATTTTTGAGGAAAAGTTGAAAGTATCAATTTTTCTTGAAGTTCAAAATTTCTAAAAAAATATTTTTGGGGAAAAGTTGAAAGTATCAATTTTCCCTACACAAGAACAATCATCATTTCCTTCCTTTTTATTTTGATTTTGATTTTGATTTTTCCTTAATTAATCCGACGACGGAGCCTCTGCAAGTGAAAAGTAGTTTTTCTTGCATATTCTTGAGGTGAGGGAAATTTTTTTAATTTTCTGCTAAAAGTATTAGAGTCAATTGAGAAAATTTTCAATAATTAATTACTTGGTAAAATTTTAAGGCTTTTGGATAACACAAATTTAAGCTAGTACCATCTTTTGATGGACGTTGTGAGGGTGCTATAACCTTCCTCACACGTAATCGAACTCTCGAATCCTGTTCTGGTTAGTAGACCTGAACCTATTCTTTTAGGGGTCCTTAAACTTAGGCGTTCCCTAAAAGGACAGATTCCTTAGGTGGCCAATCGCACCTAGATAAAAAAAGATTAGTGGCGACTCCCTAAAAGTCAATGTCTAGCGATAGATCCCCGGATCTATACGTTATGACAGCTTGGCGACTCCACTGGGGACTTTGAGAGTCAGGCCAGCAAATAATTTGTGTTATCCAAAAGCCTAATAAAATTGAACCCTTTTGTATATATGTATTATTATTCATTCATGTTTATTTACTTTATTGATTATGTCATTCATGTGCATGTGCATAACATGAGCTCTATACCCGAGCTCCATCCCTCTAGGAGGGAGCAAAGTACCTATTGCTTTCGTGAAGTCTAATGCCTCCGCAGTGGCTAGCGAAATCTCCTATTCAAATTGAACCTTTTTCGCTTGTAGCCTGTAATGGGTGAGGATTAGGGTGCCTTACTAGTCTGTGATGGACAAGGATGTAAGGAACAATTTGAGGACCTTTAGACTTTGACCCTTAAAACCACATATAGTGAACCTTAAGAGTGCCTAACCCATAGATAGAGCCATCACTCTTCCCTGATAGAATTAACCAAAAGCATAGGATTCATCCCTTTTACTTTGTGTGATGTTTAAATTTATTTAGTTATTTATTCTTTTTCTGGGTATACTAACCTTTTTTTTTCTTTTGCATTGGTTCATGCGCATATCATAAAGTTGCATAAAGAACATTTGCCTGAAAAACGGTCTTCAACAAATTTTTTTCATGGACACCAATGAACGCTTAGTTTGCTCTTCATCAGTATTAGCACCTTATGGGACACCTAATGAAGTAAGGGCCCTGTCAGAAAAGACTCAACTGAAGATAGAAGATTACTTGCCAATTAGGTATGAGTCTACTCTGTCTCAAGAAACATCTATCCTCCTCAAACAGAATAATTTAAAAGATTTGGTTGATATCTGAAAAAAAGATGAGTCCGTCAAAACAAGAGCAATTTTGTCAGAAACATGGGCATATAGCACACCTTCTAGCAATGGTTGTTGATAATCAACTAATCAGAGCTGCATCACAATTTTTGGGATCCTGCATACAAATGTTTCATCTTTAACGAAGCTTATATGAGTCCCACCATAGAAGAATATTCGATCTTGGTAGGTTTGCATCTCAAGACTCCTGACAAGATATATGTCAAAAAGCATAAGTCAGGATTTCGTAAAAGTCTGGCTCAACTCATGGGGATAGACAAAGAAGTTCTGGATCCTCATACAAAGAAGAAACAAGAACAGGTTTGCCTACCTTGAAAGTTCTTTCATGAGTTTCTGATGCAACACGCCAATGAAGAACGGGGGTTAGACATATTTGTCTTGGCTATATACGGACTGGTAATCTTTCCAAAGGTTTTGGGACATATTGAGATAGCGGTGGTTGATTTCTTTGAAAGTGTGATCAATGATTGTAATCCTTTAACGGTGATATTAGCAAAGACTATCAAATCTTTGAGTTATTATCGTCAGAATGGAGGGCGCTTCATAGGATGCATACAGTTATTGTACTTATGGATGAAAAGTCATTTTGAACAAGGAAATGGCACTTTCTCAAAGTTTTACATCCGTAATCATTTTCCAATCAAGGAATTATGAGAAAGTGGATGGTCAAAATGGAAGTCTAAACAAGAATGGATAACTTTCTTACAAAAATTAGAAAGTGCCAGGGTGAGATGGTTGGCCCCATGGATGAATCGTGAGCCTATGTTATACCAATGTGGGGATAGTACAGTGGTTCCGCTTCTGGGTTTATGGGGAGTGACGAATTATGCACCACTCCTAGTGAGAAGGCAATTGGGGGGAGAATAGTTCATTCCTATGACTTATGGGCTTCATCAGTTAGATTTTTCTTACAGTGAGCCTAAAGCATTTCAGAGGATGAATGAGATGATCAAAGCATGAAAAAATCCCCAAAGAGTGAGTCTTGGACCATTCACTGAAAAAGTCACCCCAGGTTACTTGGTTTGGAGAACAAAGAGAAAATAAAAATGGTATTCACTTATAAAATCTCTCAACCACCAACAGAAGAAAAACTTGAAGAGACACCATCAGAGTTAGAGCTAGCAACAAAAGAATTTGAGTTTGAAAAGATCAAGTTAAAGAAAGAGATTCAAGAACTTTAAGAAGAAAAAGCCCAGTGGAAAGGTAGAGCTGAAAATTATGAAGTTAAAGTTCACAAGATTGCTAGAGAACGAGATACAGCTACTAAAGATCTAGCAAGATTACACCAGGAGCATAAGAGGCTATGTGTGAGAGAAAGAGCCAAAGAGATAATCATTATCGAGCTGACTGAGGAAAATACAAGACTGCAGCAAGAGTATGCCGAATTGGAAGAAGAAAGTATCGAAGCACAGGCAGAAATTAACATGCTAAACAGTTATTTGAGCAGCCTAAGTCAAAGGTTGGATGAACAAGGAGACCACATCACTGCATTGGTTAGAGAACATAGAGAATTATCATACCAAGTCTGGTGTGGTAAAAGGGAGAACTTAGGAAGGCAGAAATACATTGAGCACTTAACAACCCAAATTCATAAAGGGGTGTGTAAGGCAAGAGAGATGATGGAAGAGGCAGAAGCATTAAGACAAGTAATGGC